ATGTAGAGTGGTATTGTGTGTGTGTGAACAACTGGGGTCAAAATAATAGTATAAACTTTAAATACGTTATTATGCTTTATTTTATTAACATATGAACATTTCACGAAAGTTTTAATGTTGTTATAGTTTATTTATTAAAAATAAATACTTTGTAACTCATTATTAATGATTATAAACTTTTTGTAAATAGTTAAGATAACTGTTAGATAGTTTAAGGTCGAATTTAAAAGTTTTGAATTAAAACTTATGAGAAACAATTTTAAAATCAAATTAAAAACTATTATACAACTATATCAACAATTTGCATATAAGCGATTCATGCCTTCCACTAATGTTTCCACCCCAGCTGTATGTGTGTGTGAGCCCCACTGCTAGTGTGTGTGACACAGAAAGCCAGTTGTGCGAGGTGCGAAGCTGTGACGTAAGCAGAGAGCCAAAGCAACGGAGCACTGGCCATCAAATTGGGTTACCCCAAAAAAAAAAAAACAAAAAATTGGGGAGGAAAAGGGCGGAGGAATGATACATTTTTTCAGTGGCTTCTGCCGCCACAAGGGAAATGAGATTTGCGCCTCAGAGCAGCAGCGTGTCAGTTTCAAAAGCGGAGGAAAAAATAAGGATTGAGCAGTTGCGCGTTAGCTGGGGAACTAGATTTCAGATGGCAATGCACACAAATATTACAAGAAAAGCCCTGGTAATGGTTTAAAGGTAGTAAGGCGTCCGAAATTTATATTCCGGTAAAAAAATTCCTTTGGAAGACTGATTGCAATACGTAGCAACTAATTGGCCATCAACAGAAAAGAAAGTTGAAAACTTTTTCGCCCAGAGGGAACTTCTCAGTAAGATGAAGTTGTTTATTGACTTTTCCCACAGATAGGCAGAGAATTTACTTGAGACTAATTGAATTACTGGAAAATTGTCATCGACTAAAGTGTGTTGTGCAGTCATCGTATAATTATCTCGCAATAGAAAAATTTTAAGCAGGAGACAGTCTTTGACCTTCGCTCCCAAGGAGCGGAAGCTTAATTACATTGAACTAAATTGTGAAGAGCGCACAGTTCACTTAATAAGTATTTGCTGGGCGACAGCAGCAACGACAGCGATTGGCACAATTCCCACAAGCTGACAAACTCATCAAAAATTTCACAGCCACTTGGGAAGGCAGAAAAGCGCAAAATTTTTATTGTGTTTTCATTAGAAGCGCGCAAATGGTCAAAAGACAGCACTTAAAACATAAACCTGAAAATGTTCCGTCGAATATACAAAATAAAGACTTTATATTGAACAATTATTATTGTGCAAGCTTTCAGTCGGTTTCCTATTTAGACCTTTAAACTAAACTGAGTGATCAGCCATTACATGGCCATTTATGTCTTTGAAATGTGAGCTTGATAAGTGGTGGCCTTATGTATTAGTTTTAAAGTGCCAGGTGAAAGTTTTTCTAAGTGTATCGACTGAAGCAAAGCAAGCCGTTGTCGCCTAGGACATTTTTCAGAGGCGTGACCGGGCGGTGAACAGAGTGGCTGGGGAAACTTTTAACAACTTTGACCAAACAGACACGCGCGAGAAATTTGCAGAAGATGCTGAGAAGGACGACGCAAAGGAACCTAATGAACAAATGAACAACACACAGATACAGATATGTACATCAGTTTTGCATATATACTGTATACATAGTTATATACAGATGGTCGAACACTTTTTAGGGGGAAATACTTTAATCTCAAGGGCACGTTTCCGGAAATAAATAAATAAAGCTCCTTGGCAGAAAGCAAAACAAGACAAAATTATGTTTTGCCCATAAAGCAAAACGAAGGAGAAAAGCTTTTCGGCATAGAAACTCTTGACATGAGCTAGGGAAAAGAAATTCTTTAAAATTTTAATGATATCAAATATTTGCACAAGGAATTCAAATTATTTTCACCGACAATTTTAATTTTCCTGAAGTTGGGTGTTTTGAGGGACCAAGCACTTGATTTTTTAATTTAAACCAAAAAAAAAAAAATCATTTGATTGCCTGCCGACTTGGAGGTGGAATTAGACTTGAGCTTTGTTGGTCAACTTGAAATTAAATTAAATTAACGCGACAAAGACAGAGTTGAAATAAACAGCACGAAAGGAAAAAAGATTTGACAATTTTATTTAATTAAAACAAGAAAGGAAAGCTAACTTCGGACGGAGCCGAAGTTGATATACCCTTGCAGAATATTCTGTAAATTATATTCTTCAAAATTATTCATTTGATTCATTCTTAATACTCATAAAAAGTCCCAATTTCCTAATTTTAAAAACACCAAAGTTATGGCATTTTCAATCGTTCAGTTATATGACAGCTATAAGATATAGTGGGCCGATCAATATGAAATTTTGTATGTCGGATTGATTGGGCAAAAATAAAACCCATAGAAAATCCCAACTTCTTGACTTTAAAAACACCAAAGTTATGGCTTTTCCGATCGTTCAGTTATATGGCAGCTATATGATATAGTCGCCCGATCCGGCTCGTTCCGACTTATATACTACCTGCAATAGAAAAACCACTTTTGGAAAAGTTTCAAGCAGATAGCTTTAAAACTGAGGGACTAGTTTGCGTAGAAACGGACGGACGGACAGACGGACGGACAGACGGACGGACAGACGGACGGACAGACGGACATGGCTAGATCGACTCTCGTGGTGATGCTGATCAAGAATATATATACTTTATAGGGTCGGAAATGTCTCCTTCACTGCGTTGCAAACTTTTGACTGAAATTATAATACCCTCTGCAAGGGTATAAAAATCTGGGAGTTGACATATATACACATTTTTCCCTTAGCTTAGCGAATAAAATAAATATTGTTTTAATTCCTCTTATTTTTACAAATCTAATGTCACTTAGATTCATTGGCTTAAAAATTCAGTGAACCAACCATTTAACGATTTCTAAATCGTTTTTTAATTTTTGATTACTTATCATGCACAAACTGTACCAATTAAACGTATAGTAACCCAAACCACAATAGGAAAATTATGTATGCCGTAATTATAGATTTATCTCTTTTTTTATGTTTTCAAAATAATTAGATTCAAACGGTATGTGGCTACATATCTGCCACAGGCAGTAAAAGTTCTTTGTTACACCTGGAGTTATATAAAGTACAATTGCATTAAGGTTTCTGCTTATACAAACACAATGAATAACTACATTTTTGCATAAAGAAGGACAGTTCTTGCAGAGTCTTTAATTAAAAAGAAAACTTTTTGTTTTGCCAAGTCATCGATAAATCAAAGTGAAACAAGAGCTGAACCCCGGTTTTCTTCTAATTTTGCTTATCCGCAGAACCAAATCGCAGCTCGACAGCTGACGACAGCTGATTGATGATCCGCAAAATTACAAATTACACACAAATGTTATCCGAGCCAGGAATTTGGCAGATAACAAGAGAGAACGCTATAGTCGGGTGCCCCGACTATCAGATACCCGTTACTCAGGTAAAGGGAGTGCGAGGGAGATGGAGATAGAAACTTTGATCACGCATAACTTTTTAACGAATGGTCCGATTTGAAAAATTTCTTCTACGTTTCGATAGGTATTGATAAACACAATAAAACTGCATTTTTACTTTTCCGAAATATTTAAATTTTTAAAATCGTATATAAGCGATTGTGGGCGTAAAAGGGGGCGTGGCACCATTTTGAAACAAACTTGCGCTGCGTAGGAACTTCTAAAATCTACATGCAAAATGCCAATCTTCTAGCTTTTATAGTTTCCGAGATCTCAGCGTTCATACGGACAGACAGACAGACAGACAGACAGACAGACAGACAGACAGACAGACAGACGGACAGACAGACGGACAGACGGACAGACGGACATGGCTAGATCGACTCGGCTAGTGATCCTGATCAAGAATATATATACTTTATAGGGTCGGAAACGCTTCCTTCTAGCTGTTACATACTTTTGCACGAATACAATATACCCTTTTACTCTACGAGTAACGGGTATAAAAATCGAACCCCCAACAAACACACGCCATCTAATTCACTTAAGGCGTTGCACCTTATTTGCTTTCACCCAAATGAATGAAATTGATTGATTATGTTTCATCAACGAAAATGAACGGAGTCCAATTAAAACAGAGAAACGATTAATGTGGTCATAATGACAAAATTTTGAACGATTTCTGGGAGTTGTGGCATCAAAAAAAGTTTTCAGATTGGCTCGAGTCGTGGGAAATGGAACAGCAGTTGTTACGCACATTTCTTTTTGTTTTGCCAAGACAAACGTAAAAAATTCCTTTTAAAAATATCAAATTTCCGCATGCATTGAATTCAGAATTTAATGCCTGTCAGAATGTGAAAATGCTTAGAAAATCGACTTGTAAATGGAAAGTTTGTAAATGAAAAGCAACGTGAAGCTAGTTATAGCAAAACATCGCGTTGTCGTTCATTGCATCACTTTGATTGATAGTGTTGAAAAAGTAAATAGTAAGTTGCTTAAGAACTAGATGACAAGATTCGAAAGTGATTTTTTTAATAATATTTAAAATTAAATAATTTATAACAATTTTTGAATTCTCTCAATCCAAGTAAATTGTTTAAAGCAAATCCCCAACTGTGTCGATCGATCTTGTAGCGCTTCGAAAACTTGTAGTATTGCCTGAAAACGTTTAATGAATCTCTTTAATCGTCCTTATTAGCATTTCAGCATTCAATTAGTACTTTTTTTATTTCAAAATCCATTTTTTTAGGTCATTACCTAAAAATACCAGATTTTGCACTATATTCCCACCTTTTATGTAAAGCGTAACCCAATTGACAGTCACGCGGAAGACCTGTGGCTAATTTTTTAGCTGATGTATAATATTTTACAGATTTTAAGAATTACATATAGAACTAAAATTTAAACTAGTTACTAAAAAAAAATCCTGAAAATACAGTTTAAGCCCATTTTATTGCAGTTTTATTCTAGCCGTTGTGAATATATAATATAATACAATTAAAACCAAATTATAAATTTAAATGTTGGTAGTTCATAAGACTTTAATTATAATTTTATTAATTTAATTATAGTGCTAAAGGTGAAAGTTATGTGTTGAAATCATAGGTATGTGGCTCGAGTTCGTAACGCTTTAGGCGCTCGTAGTACTGACCAAAAAAAAAACCTTCCAACTGATAAGTTTTGTAGATGCGATAGTGGCCTTCGCTCAAGTACCGATTATTGAAAGCCCATATGCAATGGTTGGGGAAAGCGAACACATAGCTCTGCGTGCCCCTAGAGTCCATGTCGCAAGGGGTATGCTTCGTGGGCAGATCCATGGGCATTTCGGGAAGTTCCCGTGACCTACGCCTGATATGCAAGGGTTGTATAATCGGGGAAGTATTCGCTATCTGCGGCTCATCGGACCTTATGACTTCCACGGACCTCGTCATTATTTCGACCGGCATCTTAGGATTGTTTAGGATTCCTTAAAATTATTACCATTTTAAGTAATTTATTTCACTTACCAGGACACCGCAGAGAACAAACAAAAATATCGAATATATGGTTAACTTCATCTTTGATTTTGTAATGTGTAGTGTCCCAAATTTGTTAATTATGTGGGTGATGTATGAAGTTAATGTTTTCAGCAAAGCCAACTATACCGTATTTCATTTTTAAGAACTAGGGGAGTACAGTCTTATAAAAAACAAGAAAGGAAAGCTAACTTCGGGCGGAGCCGAAGTTGATATACCCTTGCAGAATATTCTGTAAATTATATTCTCCAAAATTATTCATATGATGCATTCTTAATACTCATAAAAAATCCCAACTTCCTAATTTTAAAAACACTATAGTTATGAAATTTCCTATCGTTCAGTTATATGGCAGCTTTAGGATATAGTCGGCCGATCCTTATGAAATTTGGTAGGTCGGATTGATTGGCCAAAAATAAAACACATAGAAAATCCCAACTAATTTAACAAACACCAAAGTTATGGCATTTCCGATCAATCAGTTATATGGCAGCTATAGGATATAGTCGGCCGATTCTTATGAAATTTGGTAGGTCGGATTGTTTGGCCATATATAAAACCCATAGAAAATCCCAACTTCCTAACTTTACAAACACCAAAGTAATGGCATTTCCGATCATTCAGTTATATGGCAGCTATAGGATATAGTCGGCCGATCCCGGCCGTTCCGACTTATATACTGCGTGCAAAGGAAAGAAGGGTGTGTGCAAAGTTTCAATTCGATATCTTTAAAACTGAGAGACTAGTTCGCGTAGAAACAGACAGACGGACAGACGGACAGACAGACGGACAGACGGACAGACGGACATGCTTATATCAACTCAGGAGGTGATCCTGATCATGAATATATATACTTTATAGGGTCGGAAATGTCTCCTTCACTGCGTTGCACACTTTTGACCAAAATTATAATACCCTCTGCAAGGGTATAAAAAGAAAGGAAAGCTAACTTCGGGCGAAGCCGAAGTTGATATACCCTTGCAGAATACTCTGTAAATTATATTCTCCAAAATTATTCATATGATGCATTCTTAATACTCATAAAAAATCACAACTTTCTTACTTTAAAAACACCAAAGTTATGGCATTTCCAATCGTTCAGTTATATGGCAGCTATAGGATATAGTCGGCCGATCCTTATGAAATTTGGTAGGTCGGATTGATTGGCCAAATATAAAACCCATAGGAAGTCCCAGCTTCCTTACTTTACAAACACCAAAGTTATGGCATTTCCGATCAATCAGTTATATGGCAGCTATAGGATATAGTCGGCCGATCCCTTCCGTTCCGACTTATATACTGCGTGCAAAGGAAAGAAGGGTGTGTGCAAAGTTTCAGTTCGATAGCTTTAAAACTGAGAGACTAGTTTGCGTAGAAACAGACAGACGGACAGACGGACAGACAGACGGACAGACAGACGGACAGACGGACAGACGGACATGGCTATATCAACTCAGGAGGTGATCCTGATCAAGAATATATATACTTTATAGGGTCGGAGATGTCTCCTTCACTGCGTTGCACACTTTTGACCAAAATTATAATACCCTCTGCAAGGGTATAAAAATTGTGCACTACATGTTTTTGTGTGGATCGTATTTCCACGTTATGTTTGAAATCTAAAAATCCTTGGCGCAAAGGGGACAAAAGGGAATGGCCATACGCTGACAGCTGAAAGGATGTCGGGATATTAGAGAGGGACGCGCAAGGACCTGCAGCATGTAAAGTGACAGCAGAGTGTCACATAATGGCTAGCGCTGATAATGACCAAGAGCCGATGCCAGATCGATTCATACGGCGATGATATACGAGCCAAGTCGGGCAGCATTTCAAGTGTGAAAATAATATGACAGCAGTAATCAAGGCGTTGATGGCCGAACTAACCTCTCACACATTCTCCCCATATTGATTTCATGCTGAAAGGCTGCAGGAAATGGGCAAAAATATCTGGCGGAAATGTTGAACGAAACAGGGAGGATGTTACCAGGACGAAGGGAGTTGAAGGGACTGGCTGTTAACACATGTCAGTGGGCCATAATTGCAAGGGGGTTAAACCGAGGAGTGATTCCAACTTCCAGCTAGAGCCCAAGCAAAATGGATGACAATTGTTTTGATACGCATGTTTTGGCATGCAGAAAGAGACAGTGATGGGGACAGGAAACTGACACGGCCATATGCTCAAAACCAGAGCAAGAAACAGGCTTTCTGTTTCAGTGACAACTTAATTGAATTTTGAATACCCATTTTGAGTTTAACTTGTGTGATAATCATGTAAGCGCAGATCCTTATCCTAATTGCCCATTGGTACTTTGCTAGACTTGCTAATATGTACCTGCAAGAAAATGATTAGGTCCTTATTATATTTTATTAAATTACCTTATTAAGTACCTAAGTTTCATTACTAAATACAAATTTGAATAAAGAGCTTAAGAATACTTTAGTTGTGCAATATGGAACTCATAAAATTTTTATCAGCTATTAAATCTTCGAAAGTTTTGAAAACGATGAAAACCGCTTTTAAATGCATACAAAAACACTCAGTTATATGTTAACCAATTTTTCTAAGGCCAGAATGAAATTTGTGAAATTTTGGTTTAAGCGTGAGTTCTGTTCCCTGTCTGTCTTGTGGCTTTTGGCTAACCAGAGTCAGTCGACGATGACGACACCTGAGCCACACACGCTGCCACCATGCTGGCTACGCTAAATGCTTTAACTGTTAATTTTGCATCCAATTAAGCTCGGCAATTTTCGAGGGTCCAAGAAGCGATTTCTGCTTATGACATCTCAAAAGCCACCTTAAACTCGACCTCAACCCCAAGCCGAAGATTTCCGAGCAACGCGAACGTTTAGAGGCTGAGTGGATACGTGGAATGCAAATATTTCCTCAGCGAATTGTGTGTACCTGCTGCAGATGCAATTTCTGAGCAAATGGGACGCTTAATTAAAGCCAAGCACAAGGGGCCTAAAGGTTGGTATCAGAGCCTGTCAGTCACTCAAAGGCAGAAGCGAAGGACGCCCGAAAGATTGACGATTGCTGAGGTGCACAGGTAGCTGATGAATGCGTCTGGCTGGCACTCTCGCAATGGCAATTCCCATGGATATAGTCGTGGTCAAGGCAATAGCACCGAGTAATCTTGTTTTTAAACTACAATATTTTTAAGTTCATCACAAAGTAGTTATGAAATAGCTCATTGTGGAACGCCTAGTTCCATATCAACAAAGTCAAATCATAAATTAATATCAAATAATGTTAGTGAGACTAAAAATTAAGGCAGAAACTCATTGTTAATGTTGATATTGTATGATGTAACGGGCTATTAAGCCAAGCTAGTGGAACGCATCTTTTGTGCTATAACTTTGAGCCCAAATGTATGGGAAGCAAATTCTTTTGGCCAGGGTAAGTTCGGTGTTTCGTTGGCGATAAACCACGATACCGGCTGAAGTTGAATACCGGCGTGGCAATAACTTGTCGCTGGCACTTCCCTCCTGTGTCCCGGTTGCGACCATAAGCGCATTCCATCTTCGACTTTGCCAATAAAGTGAAATATCCTTGCACAATCTCTTCTTTCCCGATGGCACACCACCTCACAATTTCACTGCTTTATACTGCTTCGTGGCTGCTGTGCTGGCACATATTTTCGCCTGCTGTGCCAGCAAATTTGTTGCAGAACCCCGTTGCAACAAAAGCTACATCTTCAGCCACACTGAGAAAATAAAGCACGTATTTTTGCACATTAATTAGCTTGCGAATTCACATATACCTTAAAGTTGACCTGAACTTTCCGTGGGGATCTTAAATCTCATTAGATCTGTTAACAAAGTTCTTAAAAACCTTATTTCCAACTCCAATTTTTTACTGGGAAATAAATCATCTTTCTACGATATTTTACAGACTCTTTAACCTTATGAATTTGATTTATTTTGTGTTTCCTAATACATTTTTGTATACACTTTTAGCCAAGCGAACTGTTATTTTTGTTCGGTGCAAAACAATAACTTCCATTAAAGGCGTAGCTTTAGCTGAAGCTGCAACTGAATGTGGAGCCACACACAAGCCTGGCATTTCTGTTCCCTTTCTTAACTCCAAGTTGTTTTTCATTTTCATTTAGTTTTTCCTTTTTCCGCTGTTCGCACGGAACGCCGCGACCCTTTTGTTTATTTGCGCTCTGTCGAATCACAAAAACTGTAGCGCCATCAGTGTTGGTTTGGGTGTTGGATACCAGAGGGTTGGATAAAGATTTGAGGGACGAACGGGAAGGGAAAAACTGGATGTGGGCACCTTGCACAAAGGCGAAGGCAGCAGCGTTGGTATGAGCTAAAGCGCAGCTAACAAAATGTTTTTGGGCCACAGGGTCTCAAACGGAGATGCGAATGATACTAGTTTTCCGCATGCAAGGTACAAGATAATAATAATAAACTTAGACAGAACGTTTAAAGTGGTTTTAATTTAAAACTTGGGAAAGGTATTCTATTAACTACACTATTTAAGGTACATATTAATTTTAATTTGAAACTTTATCAATAAAAAGATATTTTAGTACCGATGTAAGTTGAAAAGTACCTAGATATGTTGCAAGATTAAACTGCAGCAGCTCGCAATGCAAAGAGGTGGAAGTTTGGTCGTAAAGGGTGGTTCAATGGGTGGTGCCGCTGGCTTACTGCTCACGTATGTGCAGTTATAAATTGCAGTTCGTGCGCCACGTTTGCCCGGTTACAAAGATGCAGGGAAAGATCCACTGCGCTCACAAAGAGAAGGTGGATCCGTGTTGTTGTTGGTGGCGTTGTAGCCCAAAGCCAAAAGGGTTAAGAGGGAGTGCAAAAGTTTTAGAAAAGGGGCGAAACAAAATACTGTGGTAATAGAATTACTAAAACACCAAAAGCTTGGCTACAAATAAATATTTGAGCGCGCACACATTACCAACAATAAAACTATGCAAAAACTATGCCCATTTGAAAATGGCTAAATTTCGTATTAAATTGCTCAATTATACGTTTTGCGGCAACAAGGGAGGCCGCCGATAATTGCAACAATAAAACGCACACAACGAGGAGAAAAAAATTTAAATTGATATAAGATTAAAGCGCAATAATAACAGGCAAATAAAAATAAAAGAAATAACCCAATAAAATCGGCGTTGGTAGAGGAGCAGCGAATGCAGCTGCATTAATTTGCATGGCAAATGTGGCAACGAGTCGAGTCTGAAATAATTGCACAAAAGGGGTTCCATTGAGATGGGGATGGTCGGTGTAATATCGATATCCCAAACGGGGTGGAGCAGAGTTTAGTTCAATGCAAATGGGGAATTATTGGCAAGTATTATTTACTTATGCATTAAATGCGATTTTCAACTTTATTTAACCTGGCTACATGACTGTGTATCAGTTTTGATATGTTGCGTTACACAGCACGTTAGTGCTTGACTTGCTTTGTTCTCGGATGATTTGTAAATGTTAAATTAAACAGGATGTTCCTTGATTATTTTACCATTACACTGTAAATTTGATTTGATGAGAGAATATCGCAGCACTGTGGCTGCCCTTTACCCTACCCATTAAAATGCCAAAATGAATTAAGTATCCGACAGTTATTATCATTATTTTTTAAGTCCGGGCACTAAGCAATGTCTTATTTTGATTATAACCTTACGTAGGTAAAATGTTGATAATCAACAATTATTTTTCTTTTAGATAAAGGAATTAAATAAAATACAGACAAGCACCACATATTTTAAATTAGTAGAGCGAAGACGTTAGCACTGTACTCGGTATTCAAATTTCTCCTACCTTAGACATTTAATTAGCGCCTTAGTTATCAGGGAAAATGGAGCTTCCTCTCTGTGAATGTGTTTTGGTTCCATTAGTATTTTCCCATGGAAGTGTGCAATTAGGGGCGTCAATTGTGGCCAGCGTTCTCGTGGAGGGAGATCGCGTTCCATCAACTTGACCATGGCAACTTGTCAGCGTTTCCGTCGCATCACCCACATCATCCGTCTCGTCCTTTTCATCCTCGATGCTGTCACATTCGTGTGACAAATGCGAACTTGGCTTAATCAGATGCTATGTTCCCTTGCAAAGGGTATAATCACATTCAGAATCAGCATGGGAAATTTTCTAGCGAAGCTTCATAGAGTAGTTTCCTTTTTGTGTTGGCGCAGAATCGCGACTCTTGGCTCTAATTAGTAACCTTTTTTGCCAGTCCGCTACTTTATCCTGCAAATGTTTTTGGGCGAGCGCGAGATTGATGGCGATTCATTTTTTATACACAAAGCTGTCTGTCTTTTGCAATGTGAGCCGGACAAATGAACGGGGTGTCAGTGGGTTCCCGGTCTTGGGGATTATTTCAAGGGGGGTTGTATTAATTAGCTAAAAACAAAAGCTTGTTATTTCTTGCTGGTTCAGCTCAAATCGCACAAAGGGCCATTAAATGCTGTCAGCCTTGGCAAAAACCATTTTGACACGAAAATTTGATTCGTATTTGCGCAGATATATGCAATTTCAATTGTATTTACCCACAAGTATATATTATATTTATAAAGTCTATATGCATAACAGATGCGGTTGTAACAATATTGGCTAAAATTCCAATGGGAGCAAGCGAATTGAGAATAGTGTGAAAATTGTTTTCCACCTTCTATAGCAGGGAATTACCATATTTTCACAGCAAACTAGGAAGAGAAAATGGCATGTGAGGTGGTGAAAGGACAGAAGAAATGCAATTTTTACTCCACATTTTGGGTTACTTTGCAGCCAAAGCTCGAAAAGATGCTAAAAATTGCAACGGAATTGCAAATGCTGTTGACACTTGCACAATGCAAACAATTGCCCGAGATCTCCAAGCCCCCTGCTATCAGCTTTTCCTCCGTTTTCTTTCTTTTTTCCTGTCATAAAATGTTCTCTCTTTTTGGGATTTGAAAGTTTTTAGTTTGGGTTTCCCTGGCAATTTTCATGTTTACGTAGATTTTGGCAACACTTGATTGCCCTTTGGGTTTTGCCAAGGAAAACAGAATACTGGATAGATGTAAGGAAATTTGCCTATTTTCACCTGGCGGTTAGGGGAATAAAGAAAAATTGAATATGTGATCCTAAGGCCAATTATCTTTGATGACTTGGTAAAGAAAATATTTCTCGCACAGAATCACTTAAATAAATGTTCGTAAAATAAATTAACCTACATTTTACCTCCTTTGATCAAGTGAATAAAATTAAAGGGTATTGTTGTTATCTTGAACATTGAAATTGTTTTAAATTAATTAAAGAATTCTTAATATTCTTAAATATTGAATTTGTTTAGGTCAATTTAGTATTCTAATGCTTCCAGTTTGATCCAGGAGGCCAAATATCAACTTTTTGGGCTTAAGCTCGAAAATTTTATGCCAATATTTAATTAAACAAGATAAATAGTGTTAAAAATGTCAATTTGCATATTTAAGATGATTTTAGGGAGTTTATTGAAATGAGATATTTTCTTCTTTGTCTGAGAGCCTGTGACACTCGTTTGTATTCTTTTATCGTTCAACGTTAAAGAATACTGTCAGTATTTTTAAACAGATTATTTCCACAAAATAATACAAAATCATGTATATTTTTGGTTTTGCAGTAAAAGAACATTTGAAAATGTATTTACTTTGCAAGCTTATTTAATTTGCGACTAAGCGCGTTTGTTAAATTTTTGTAGCTGAATATTATGAAAACCATCTATAGAGCATTTTTTTAGCCTAAGCCCGAAAACAAGTTCAGTAATAACAAAAACCTTTTTAATTTGTAAACTATATAAACTTTTTTTAATATTACTCATCCGCCATGTTGGTTGTAGGGGAAAATATGTGGTAGTAGTGCAATCAGCAGGAATTTTTGTTTACTTGTTACCTACGTCAAAATCATTGGCTGGTTTTTGCCAAAAAGTAAAGAAAATCTTGCACATAGTGCTGGCTCATAATGTTGATCGCCTTTCCATAATCATGGGACTGGAGCATTTGGAACCGGATGTGAAATAAGTCAAGCACAAGTTCTTACACATCTATCCATATCCGATTTTTCTCGTTTGTGTTTGTGCAACATCTGCAGTTAGTCCTTTCCACATGCGATTGGCTTGCAGGCTGCGGCTCATAAATCATATTTGTATTTGGATCTCGTTTTCCCTTCCCTTACCAATTTTCTGTGAGTTTTCCCGCAGCGACGACAACATTCAATCAAAATGCTGCAAAATCCCACAAATTTGTTATTCGTCACGTATCCGAAAGGAAAGTTGAATGTGTGTAACTGTGCTTTTTTTTCCGAAGTGTGTGTGGGGTATTACGTATACGCCCAGTCAAAAGGCATTTACGAAAAGAGTTTAAAGCCAGCGAAGGCATTTAAAGTGGCATAATATGTAAATATCGAAATAGAATAATATGCATTACCCATTCTGCTCACAACGACGCCCTCCACAGCCAACATATGCCGTACATTTGCCGGAGAGACAACTTATCAAGTTTACACTCAACTGAATATTTAGAGTCGCTGTTGAGTTGAGTTCCCCGCCCTCCCCATTTCATTCGAGTTTCTCGCACTTTCCTTCTGCGCATTGCTTATTAAATATTAAAATGATAAGGAAAAGGCAAAGGAAGGGTCTCCTTTTTTGGTTTTCGGTATGTATGCATTGGGGTTTAAGTCTGCCTGTCTTCGTGTCTATCATTTGCTTTGCGCCTGTTTTTTTTGGTCTAAGCGGCTTTAGGCTGAAATCCTGAAAAAAAACAAAATGTCATAGAGAATCTAGTGCTTTTAGTCGGTTGTTTGCTCTGACATATTTTAGCAGGCCTCATTATATTACAATTGGCCAATTTTGTAAAAAAAAATAAGTCAAATTCGGCAAGCCGAACTTTATATACCCTTGTAATTATTACAAAACGACTACATTTCGACATTTTTAGAGACTTAAAGAAATGAATTAAGTTCTCTAAAGATAAATATCTTTGTTATAATTCCAATATTCATTTAATTTAGTTACCAACAAAACTATTCTAATTATTTGAATGCTTTGTGTATAATGGTTTATGTTATATGTCTTAGTTCATGTTTTTACTTACTATATCCATTACAAATAGACGCCGAAGTTAGTGATGACCTTTATTCAAGATATAAATGTGTACCCTGCAGAGTCGATTAAGGAAAAAAAGTATACTTTACTTTAATATTATTAGTTTAATTGGATATTTTTGCTCCTTATAAAAAGTTTGCTAGTTTTATTTCTATTCAATGTATCTGACTTTACACTTCTTGTTTATTTATTACGATTTCCATCGACGTTAACATCGAGGCTAAACGCTCTTTTCAAGGGGTTTTAGTTTCATGCTTAAGCCATTAATCGCAGCGCCATTACTCTATCCCCTTCGTATGCTAATATTTTCATTCATATTTTCCATGTCGCAATCATTTTGTGCGATGTTCTTTCTCTTCGTTCTGGTTTTTTGTGTGTTGTTTTGTGGCATTTCTTTAGCCTTGATTGCAAGCATTTGCATAATTTAAGAAGCACCCCGTCTGCGTCGTTGTCTTGAGCTGGCAAAGCATGAAAATGAAAATTCCAAGCCTTCCCCCTCCGTCGTCGTTGTGCTTCCCTCTGTGTTGCTGTGCAGAAATTATCATATCTTTTGAAGCTGTGTTCTAAATTATTAACGAAATAAATAGCGAAGGCAGCCGAGGCGCCCAAACGCCATGGGAATATTGAAAAAGTTTCGCATTTCCATTTAACATTTTTCCGTCTTCCATTGCCATTGCAGGAGTAAAAGTGGAGAGCACTGGGTGCAGGGAACAGGGATCGGCGGCCAAGCAACGGCAATCGGGGGCATGTCCACAGCCAAAAGGCTGGTGCTCTCGCTACGTGGACGCAAGAATTCGCAGGGCAACTCGGCGACCTCCTCCACCCGCCTGGTATCCGCCGGCACCTCGCCCGGCCATGAGCTGGACGAAATAGCCGTGGTCTCCGGCACCGGATCCAGCAGTCACCACTTCTCCTATGGCGGCTGCATCGCCACCGGCGATGCGCCTCTGCCGCACTACTCCACAGGTGAGTGCCTCCAACTCCGACCTCCAAGAGCGAGAATCTAGCACCTGAACTGCTGTTACGCAAAGTCACCAAAATGTAGTCCCACCACCAACCACCACCACCTGCAACACTACTGTGAACTTTGTGAAAACCCCTAATGAACCTGCCCTGCATGCCGGTAGAAGTGTTCGATTCATCTCATTTACACTGAGGGCAAAAAAAAGTTGAGAGGTAGTATTAAGCCTTTCTTAAGAAATGATCACGGTTTAATTACATTCTTAACCTAAATTCAAATAAGCAATGGAAAATAATTGGTTACACCTCTTAACGATTTTCGTTTGTTTTTTAAAATTCTTTGAGCCCCTGAAGGGAAAACCATTTTTTCATCTCAAAGCCTCATGTTACAACTTTAAACATGTTTACTTTTAAATCGGGACTGGAAATCCAGTGCTAAACGTATATTAGGATAAGAGATATAGTCACACATTTTTCGGATTTTTTAATTCAAAAAAATCTGTTTTTATACTTTAATATAAATAATTAAAAATGCCCTTTAATTATTTATATTAAAGTATAAAAAATACATATCCATCAAAATACTCATATCTAAAAAAAATTCCTAATAACCGCTTAAAAATTAGTCTTATAATATAAATGTCTAAGCCTTTTTTAGGGATCTGCATAGATCGCAAGTGGATAGCACGAAAAAGATTCTTCGTGACGATCCGATCCACCAAAGCTTACAAGAAAATGTAGATTTAGTATTGGGGCCCTGTTAAATTATGGAAATCTGGGGTCTAATGAAAGCGATGAAGACTTGATTTGACAAAAGCGCCTTAGCAGAAGGCCCCGGTAGGAACAAAGAGAGGAAAATGCGAAGGCAAAAGCAAACAAATAACAAACAATCTTGGCCAACCTAATGGCAGCTGTTGTTGGCCCTGCAGAATAAATCAATCAAATGACAAATATGCTTAGGCAATTGTCAAGCCAAGTGGCTGCCTGGGTTTTTGGCCTAATTTCATTCAGAGGCTGCGGTCGCTAGTTTGCCTGTGTGTGTTGTTTTAGCCAAAGCCACACGAGCGCCGAGTCCTTCGTTAGTTTCCTTGTCACATTTTATAGGCCGCATATGTGGCAAACATTTTTCCTCTCCTGGCCCAGCACGTTCCTTGTCCTGGCTTACAGTTAATTTTGAGTGAAATTCAATTTATCATTGAGCGGGGCATAAATCCGCATTTGGGCCACTTTGGCTCGTTACGGACACAGAGCTCGGAGCGTAGATTTATTTCGGTCGAATCTGTTTGGTTGTCGCATTGTATTTCCCACGACATAAGCAAACTGCCTTCAATTTGTCAGTGATGAAACTTTTGCTCGCTTACGTAGTATTGTATTCGCCATGCATTTAATGGGACTTATGCAGCACATCGAGCATTTAGTAGAAGTTCTCTTGTTTATTGGCCAGAAGTGTAATCGACATTTATCGTCTGTTCTATGGCAGGGACTTGGCTTTAATGTCTGCCTACGCTTTAACGCTTTCAGGGAGAGGAAAATAAAATACATAGTATGTTGATAGAGACGGAGTGAGTCAAACCGAAGCACACGAAACAAGAGCAAAAAAAGTTTTTTTTTGCTTTGTTTTTGCAACTTTTGCCATATTTTTTCCCAGCCCCAAATGCTTTCGACAATTTTTAGTACATTGCTCTTGCCACCCCTCGAAGCTACGTATATTTTTTGTGTGTGACAAAGGCAATTTTGAACACGGCTTTGATCAAAGTTTTGGGCCAGCATCAGTAAATTAAATTTGACTTACCCACAAAATTTGGCATAAAATGGGGAACAAGTAAATAAATCTACAACATAAATTCTAGCTATATGCCATTTGCAAGCACACGCTTCGCTTAAATCGATATGAGCAGCTTCTAAAAGCTTAGAAAATTGAATTTGCCTGAAAAATTCGTTGCCTACTTTTGGGGCCAAATCGATCAATGAAATTGAATAGCATTTATATATCTATTAGTTGGCCAGATAAAACGTTTTCATATTCAACTTCATCTGGTTGAGTGTGTGTGAGAGTATTTTTTGATTTTTTGCAGAGGAATGCCTTTGTTCGAGTCACGTTTAACTGGAAAATGCCAAAGGATATAGCCATCAACAGTGGCCAGACTACGGCTCTTTGTCTCTCTGGCTGTTTCTCTTTTGTCTCCTGTGTTGTATCCTGCAATAATTGAGCTTAGAGGGTCTTATGGCAGCTGCATCATTGATTTGCCACCCCCTTTTCCCCTGGGGGTGGGGGGGGGGGTCTATGCTGCACCCCTTTTCGGTCACCCGCTTGCCTGTCCAAGTTTTCGCAAAAGTTCCTCCGTTCATTTTTCTTTTGATTTTATTTTTGTTGGATTTTTGCTTTTAGTCCAAACTCAAACCCGAAAAAGACTTCACTGCCAGACATAGTTGAGTCGCAGCAGCAAAACTTTTTCCATTTGCCAACAGAGTTCACTTTTAGAGTGTGTGAGTGAGAGGGCGGGGATACGAAAATTTTAAAGTCTCTCGCTCGCACTTGCAGCAGGAAAAATTGCGCATGTATAATTAGTTTTATTTACCACCTGGCACACAAATTTTAATTAGAATTTATGCGTCCTTCTCCAGTGGCCTCCGCTGGCCCCAGCCGCTAATCCTTTGGCTGGTGCTCTGGCTGCAACTTCTTCTTTGTCTTCTAAGTCGTCTTTTGCAGTAAGGAATTTCCTGCTGGCCAAGCGATTTAACTTCAGCTAAAACGTTGTGCACTGAACAAAAAGCTGGACTGAAAGTAAGAAAAAGATGTTCTGTTAAGGATTTGTTTGTTTGAGCTCTTTGCTTTAAAGGATAACATGGTACATATTTATAAACGTTAATTATATGTTTCTATAAAATTTTTTTTTTATTATTGCAGAATATTGTTTACAATTTAGCTATTTATCTGAACTGGGCTTTTTCTTAATTTTTTTTAAATTGAAAATAAAATGGATAAATGGGGATAAAGTAATATCAATAATAATCCACTTCATAACAGTTTTTGCATGCTTACTATTTCAAAAATGTGTAATTTTTTTTGGTTGTGTAACAGTTTTATTGCTCAGTTAAGTTTTAGTTGCTGGCCATATGTAATTCGAGTATTTCAATTATAAAAGCAATTTGCCACAGGATGGAAGAGTTTCGATTACAATAAGCGTATTAGTTTACCAATTACTTTGCCTAGCTGAGATGCAAAGTGCTTGCCACTAAGTCATGACATGGAAAAGGGGTATAGATTACCATAACCATGAGCAATTCATCCGATAGCGAAGTGAGTGCGCCTCGAATTTGGCAACACAGGGAATGCAAAAATAGTTGCCGGCACTTCAGGATGCCACAGTGTTGCATGGCTTGCCATTTTAATTGCCATTCGCGATGGCGTGGAAGCCTCGTTGCGTATACGCCACGTTGAGTTGTCCACATTGTTGCCGCGAAGTGCTTGGGACAACTTTAGCAGCGGAGACTGCGTGCAACACAAAGGGCCACTTAAAGTTGGCACCCAAGCGCTTTCACAAGAGGGGATTTGCTTTGAACGGAACGAGAATGCGAATGAGGATGGGGATGGGGATGGGGTGGAGGCGGTGGGTTTAAAGGTCGGCGCCAATGTTGTAGTCTGTAATGCAATTACAAATGCAGGTGGAGCAGCATCAGCCGGAGCGGCATTAGTTGGCATCCAGCCAGGTGTCATCCAAAGGGCGCTCGAGTCCGGCAGTGGATTCCCACTCCCTCATCTGAAATGGTTGACTTATCAACCAAAGTGCCGCATTAAAAGGAGCACAAAAAAAATAGTAAAGCGCTTTGCCCTTTGCACATTTGCAGGGCCATTGAGCTCTTCTGCTGCTCCCCCAACCCGTCTTCTTCAAGTCCTTTGAGTGGGCATGACACAGACAAAGGGCATTAGAAATGGTCAGATAAGAAGATATGCAAATGATCTGCAGCTGGGAGCGTGTGCGACTTAAGTTGAGTGCCCAACCGCTTGGGGAAAAGTGTAAGCTAAAATATTTAAATGGGTATCTACTTATAAGAACTCTTTATTGTTATATTTTATTACAAATGTCGGTTCTTTCTTAAGGTTGGCCATTATCACGTTCAAAATTTAAAACTAATTTGAAAACAAACACTAAACTTAAATCTACGTCTTGCGTTTAAAAATCCAATTATTACCTAGGAAAACAATGCGAATAAATTGTATTCCCAAAACCACATCACTCATACGCACAGTTTCCCTCACACACGGCAAAAGTGCCAAGTGTTGAACATCACTCATACGCACCGGTGCTCTTATGTTAAATTTGTAAATGTGACAAGCTTTGGGATTTTTGTTGACCATAAAAAAGGCAATATTTTTGCTTTTTATTTGCGGTCTTCTGTGTGTTTTATTTACACCAATGTGTAAACTTTAATAGATAGCTTACCAAAGTTTTGCTCTCAGACCTTTTCAATGCAAATGAAAGTGTTAGACCGACCACACTCGCGTACACAAGTAAACACACAAAAACACAGACACTGGCAGAGTGGCAGACATCAAACATTAAGCACTTAAGGCCATGAATTTGATTCCGGTCGAAAGGAGATCATGCGGCGACATGTCGGGCATATCAATCACTTGTCCTCTGCCGTTTCGCAGAGCATAAACCTATTATTTTTCAACCGCAACTCCCCCTCCGGGCTGGCTAAGCCTGCGGCATTTCTACTCATGTTTTTGCCAACTCCGTAGCAGCGATGATAATTCGGTCAGTTCGGTCAGCTTCAACATAGTCGTATGTTGGTATGTGGTCCAGTTGGCAGGATTAACTTGCAGGGGATTAACAGCGCTCGTAACCGCAGACAGAAACGGAGACAGAATTAGGGGCAGAGGGCGTTGCAAGGAGCCAAGCCAAAAATCTCTTTAATGTCTGACCTTTTGGCCAAATACGCTGTTCGCTGCTTTCAGCCAGCACAGAAAAAAATTCATATATCTGCCTCGAACTTTCTTT